GTGGGTGCGTGGAGGGTAAGAGGGGACTCCTACACGGTTTAAACCCCCCCCCCCCCCCCCCGCCCCTCAAAAACAAATTTTTATGCTCGTTCAGTCCTTTGGCAGATGTTTAAATTTTGTTTGAGCCTCTATAATAACCTTAGATATCAGTCTGAGCAGAAACAGACGTTAAAAATAACCGAAAGCCGAATAAGATCTATATTTGACCATTACCAATGTTGGTAATGCTGTTCTTCTTCTTATTATGCTGCTGTTATTGTTGTTGTTGCTGTTGTTCTTGTTGATGTTTAATATCTTCAGTGTGTGATCATGTGGTCATTCTTGCAGCCGTGAACCGAAGAGAAAAGTATCGTAGCAAAATGAAAGTGCTAAGCATACTGTGCTTTTTCTACGATTGTTTACCTTTTCTACACAACTTCAAATTTCTGTTTTGTTTCGAATTTTGGTTTTGTTTTTGGCTTATTTTTCTTTGCTTTGATTTGGTTTTTGTTTCGTGCACACAGTGCAAATTTTGCATCAAAGAGGGTTACGCATCTCTGCTCTTGGAGCATTTACATAGCTATTCGGCTCAACACAACGTCAGCTCTTTCCTTTTACTACACACATAGGGTTGCTTTTCACATGTTCGAATAATTTGGAGTTAGGATTGTCTCTTTGTCTGTCAGAGGAGTACATACCATAATATCTCATTTCCGTTCTTTGAGATTTAAAAAATACCTTATACTTCTCCTGTCTGTGTGGCTTTATTGAAATGTTGGATCCTTCATTTCCACTGTGTGGCAAGAACCAATGTTCTGTTCGGGGTGTCAATACAATGTTTTATTGTTCAACGTCAACGTATAAGTTACCTTGTAAGATTGCAAGTCTGAACAGATGCATGATTGTGACGCAATAACTCACCTATGGTGACGACACGCTTGTACTTTGTGAATATGCTACAGTGTATTCTGCATCCCATAGGGTAGTTACATAGTGGACCCGGACCCGGCCGTGTTATGTGCCTCGCCCGGTTGCCCGGGTCCTTGAAAGCATGCTTAGTGGACCAGGCTGGTGCCGGGCTGGAGCCGGCTGCCCCCACACATTTTCACGTCAACACACGAAGTCAAAATGGCGCTTACAAGGCGTCAAAATTTAATAATATTGTGGAAGTGGTGGAAGAAAAGAAACCTATTACACCCAACACGCCGTTTTGCTGTGCACCCAATCAACAAATTGCGAAACATTCACGGAGAATATCACCATCTGATGCCCTAACAGCTGAATGATCCAGAGAGATTTGCCCAATACTACAGGATGGAGCATCAGACGTTCTATGATCTTCTTCAGCACTGTGCTGCTGATCTGTAGGAAAGTCTACGGATGGATTTATGTCTAGCAATTTCACCTGAAGAACGCCTTGTTGTCAGACTGAGATATTGTTTTGAAAAACAGAAAATGTTTTAGGACGGCCGGGAAAAACCCTGCTTGCACAATCGGGGCAAATACAGCTAAAAAAAAAAAAAAAAGAGGTTAGGGCCGAGCGTACTATGCACGCCTGAAGTCGTCGAAGTGATCTCCGAGAGGGATTGGCCTGTGCAGGGTTTTTTCTACCGGTTGCGCACTGCCGGGTCCGGGTGCACTATGCACGTAGCCTTACGCTGTAGTGCAGAGGTTACAAACTTAATTTGACACGTAAAAGTGTGGAGTTCAAAATGGAGTAAGGATACCAAATTCGAATGAGGCCATAATCATTTTTGAAACATTTTTTGGGTCCTTTCTGGAATATTTTCTCTCAGCTCGGTGGTATGGCGAGGTACTAGTGAAAATAACGTAAGGTTGTGCATTACTCCCCCATCAATTCAATTTAGTCGCTGTGGGAAACAAACTCCCGGTCAAGGCTACCCCGGGCTGAGTGCGACACAATATCTCCGCATACAAATGGAAATACACAATTTTAAATAATCCTGCAAATTTCTCCACTCTGAAATTGAAATCACATTCCACCACAGACGTCGATTGAGGGACTGAGTGTTCTTCCATCAAAATGAAATCCATCGTATCTCCCTGGGCTTTAAAACAGCAATAAGTTTTCTTCAATTCAGCTGAAAAATGACAAGACTACTAACACGCAGATAGGGCGTAGCATAAACTCCGTTGACACTGTCATGAGCTAAGTTGTTGATGACCCTGTTTCGAAATTCTCATTTCGGTGCTCTTGAACTTGTGGTTCTTTGGGGAATTTTCAATGTTTTTGGTTTACCTACCTCTGTGCTGCCGGAGATGGACGTTGTATTTTGATGTTTTGCTTCATAAATAACTTCACAATGCTGGAAAGGGGTTCAAATTTTTTCACACCATAGAAGAAGATAAAGCAGAAAAGATCAAACCAAAGTAATTAACGTCGTCCTTTACAACAAACTAGTTCAAAAATGAAGGTCACATCCTGGAGTGCTAATATTTATCCTGACAATTTCGAATGTTTTCTAGCAAAGTAAAAAAAAAATCTTATAACACGACCAAAATATTCAGTGAATAGTCGATGGCAGACTGGTATTGGCAATTACATGGACTATTGGCCTTAAATTTTTTATGGTCTTCTCTCTGTCCATCTGTCTGTTTGTGTGCGTGTGTCTATCTGTGCATCTCTCTCTCTCTCTCTCTCTCTCTCTCTCTCTCTCTCTCTCTCTCTCTCTCTCTCTCTCTCTCTCTCTCTCTCTCTCTCTCTCTCTCTCTCTCTCTCTCTCTCTCTCTCTCTCTCTCTCTCTCTCTCTATGTCTCTATATATATATATATATATATATATATATATATATATATATATATATATATATATATATATATATATATATATATATATATATATATATCTCTCTCTTTCTCCACACATTTCGCAAGCAAATGTTCAAACACTATAATTTATGAGTATAAAGTATTGTATCTTTCGCTTCATATTCTCATTAATACATAGAAGCGAGTTCAATTAACAAAAGCAGCCTGTTATCTGATACCTTGCGGATCAGCTCTACAGGACAGTTCATTCCATTTTCAAGGCCAGTCTCTTAGTGTGACGGCAATTGGAAGCAATAGGCGGTGTCCGTACGAGGATCGGTTCATTTTCTGGCGGCCTACTAATCGCCCGACTCGCGGTCTTGAAAACAAAAGGGTTTTGTTTTTGAAGTTCACCGTTGTCTTTCTTTCTGTTTGTATCACGATGGTAGCTTTTGCCCTTCCAAGGAGGAAAGTCAAACCAAACCGATCCTGCCACTGGGCACCGCTTTAAAGAGTAATCTGTTTATCCGGCAGCTCAAAAAGCTATCGGTATCTGCTTCCACCCCCCTAAAAAATGCAATAGATCATCCTGCCATATGAAATGAGATAACGATCTCAAAAAACGCAACAATTCTCAGCAAGGCCATGGGCAAACAGTGTCAAGGGAAATGTTGGCTCATTGATAATTGAGAAAAAATTGACACGAATAGCAAAGAGACGAGAGATCACGTATTTCTCTATCGATGGTGTGGTATTATGTTGTCCCCGGTACAACGAATGCAATACCAGAAAACCTTCTAATGGTTACACGGAACCAGTTGTGCGGCATCGTGGTAAAATCAGGCGCTCGTCAAAAGAATGAAATAAAAGAAATCTGCATTTTTCTACCTGTTGGGAATCTTTTGTCGATTTGTTTCCTATTATGTTCATTTGAAAACACATTTATTTGTGGATTTTACTCCGAAAATGTTGATCAAATGCACACAAAATCCATGTTTACAGTTTCCAAGGACATTGAAGCTTTGGAAGTCACCAAACCTTTGCTGCCATATTTTCCTTGGTTTGTGCCTCTGACATAAGGCATATATCTCTAGTACTGCTTAAGATGGATGTTTTTTCATCAAAAGCAAAACAAATGAACAGACTTTAAGATAACACCAATAACTATATATGCCCTTAAGATGCCAAGCGCCTGATTCCTCCTCGTTGAGACACATTTATTTGTATTACATTTATATGAATAATACTGGCATTTGCATGTAGCACGTTCTATAATATCGGGTTGAAATTAGCAATTATGTCTGTACCTGGTCTTTCGTGAAACATTGGAGCAGCTCTACTTTTATTTGTTGCACATGTACAAATTATTGGTTGGCAGGTTGGGGGGGGGGGGAGTATTGTTTAAGTCCACACTCTATTGACATTATAAAGATGATTTAGGAGGCACCTGCCTCGACCCTGCCTGACAGGGCATCCCGGTCTGAACGGTATCAGTGCAAAAAGGGATGGATACTCGATTTTTCAAAATATGGATCTTCCGGTAAGGGAATTGAACGCATGCATTCTACATGCTGCAACCTGCCTGTGGGTAAGAGGGGGGGGGGTGTCAGAAACAGCAAATATAATTGTTTCACAACGTGCGGGGGCAAAGCAAAATCAACGAAATCCCACTCTATCTATCAAAGCATGCAAGTTCGCCGCAATTGAAAACGATCTGCACTGTGTTGACCTATCTCATTGACCCCACTTGCCAGCCCAAGCAGAGTTGGATACAGCATTACATAAGAAAAAATAGGATTAAGAACCGGATTCAAGTCATCTGCGTTCATCAAAGAAAAGGCAAAAAATGAAATGCAAAATTGTATATATTAACATCCCTTGCAACACTGTAAGGTTATAACAAGAAGAGGAAAGTAGGATTCTCGATTTCCAGTTTTGTAAATTAGACACATCTCCACACTCTTGTGCTATTCCCATAGACATTGCGATGATTCTGCAGCTAATTAGGCGTGTAGCTTGTAAGGTTTGGTAAGTTGTGTGTCTCAAGCACCACTACATGTACAAGTATATGCGAGGAAGGATGTGACAATTCTACGTGAGTGGCATTACCGTGATGGGAGGTAAAATTTGAACAGACTAAAAAAACAAACACTAATCCATATCGGGAATCACCTGCAATTTATTTTTAATGTGGATATAGAGTCTACACTTTGGAAGTGTATTGGTGAACTCGTTTATGTGCGCCCTGCCTGAACGGAAGTAGAGAAATGAATTTTCGTCCCAAATGTTTGATGTTGCACATTACTAGACAAAAACATGGTGATTTGGTGTTTTGTGGTAGATGTTACATACATACGTTTAAAAAATATTTTTAAAAATTGTAAATACCATTTTGTAATGTGTAACATTCATCTCTTGTAGCCGGGAAGTCAGGGCGGGTGTTCATAGCGTTTGAAGAAGACAAACAGTAATGAACGCTTATCGTAGTGGTTATGGGACGTCTGTGTGACTTTCTCGAGAGAAAAATTTGAATTGTTTAACAATTTCTAGATCTATTACACATAATTTTCTGGTTAAGTCTCTTGAAATTCAACTTTTTGTGCAGATTCTGATGTAGAATCACATAAACAGTTGGTTTGAAAAGTGTCAGCGATCATAGTCTGACAGCGCAATTTTCTGTTCCTTTTTCCATTTGTCAAGAAATACAGCAATCTGTCGGAAGTCACTCCCCATCGTCTTTTTTTTTGTCTGAGCTACCGTTGAGGTGACAGGACACACGCGATTGTCAACGGTCAAGGCCATCACCATCATGTCTAAGAAAAAGTTGGAGACGTACTTGGACCGGGATGTTGGCAGATACAACAAGGAGCTGCTCAAAATGGCCAGGCAGATGCAGAACAAGAGTCCGCCTCTGCCCAGTGCTGTTAGACTGGCTGACGAAATCCAGGCCACACTCGACAAAGAACACTTGGGAGATATATTTAACAGGTCAAGGATGTTCCTTTTGGCATCATTCAGAGATTCTTTATCATTTCGTTCTCGTTCTATCGTTATACAACTGATTTTGTTTGCTCTGCGTTTTGATGTTTTTGTATAGCTGGCGTCTGTGGTCTTTGGCTCTTCGACTTGACTCAAAAGATGATCTCCTGACTATGAGTTTGAAGGGAAAATGTTATAATTGTACAGCACTCACGGATGAAGATTGATGGTAGTCTTGATTGTACATGTTCCTGCCGGTTTTAACTACTGCAACGTCCCGTTGAATGTGTAACAGGCGTATCCGTGTGAGTTAATTGTGTGATTGTGAGAAGCGACAGACAGACAGACAGACAGACAGACAGACAGACAGACAGACAGACAGACAGTCAGACAGACAGACAGACAGACAGACAGAC